AAGGAGGATGAATCAGCTGATGCAGCATTACTTAGAGCTTTGTCCGAAAAATACATTTGTATTTTAAGAAAGAGGTTATGGGCATGACCAGGGTTGGTGGGTACTGAGTTAACCTTCCCAGACCAGTTCCTCAAGCTCTGTTTGAAGGAACCCCGCTGTGCCGCTCTCCTGCATTCGTTCAAACTAATTAAGATTTCCTACGCTTCCAGGTATTAATATGACTCACTTGCAACAAATCATTTCAGGTATTTCCCAACGAGCTACTTTCCAGCTATTTTTAATACAAATTGCTTGTAAAGAGTGCAAAAAGCTCAATGGTTTCCTCTGACAGTAACACGAGCCTGACTCCTTCAAATGCAGGGCACTCTGGTTTTTGTCGGGACCTCCCGAGCTTGCAGATCCCCCTGCACGAGGGCAGTCCTTGGGGAGCCCCACTTTCTCTAAAAAGGCACATTTTTCCTCCCATTTGAGTCCGACTGTGCAATCCCAGCCCAGGCTTGGAACAAACGGCAATGAGAGACAGACCTTGCCCCTCTCCCCCACCAGCCGTCCACGACATCCTGGCGCAGCACGTGCCACGGCTCGCTCCTCTTTGCTCACGCTCACGGAGAAGCAAAGCAAGCCAAGCGTTGCTCCCGCTGCCCGTCATCGATCCCGTTGCCTCGGGCTTTTGGATGAACTTTCCGTCTGTGTTCCTTCCCGCAGAATACGACATAGTGGGCTACCATAACAAAAGGCAGCTGTCGACCAAACCCATAGACGTGCTTCGGACTGGGAAGAGCATTTGTGAGGGATACGCTGGGCTCTTTGAACAAATGTGCAGGTAAATGAAGCTCAGAAACATTCAGTGCCAGGCAGAGTTAACGTTCGTTGTCATCTCTGCGCCCCTTCCGTCTGCCTTTGCGTTGACTGATGTGACTTTAAGCAGGACGTGGAACTTTAGCTTTCAAACCATGCTGTGGAAAAACAGCAAGTCCTAGAAAGGTCAATTTTGCTTCCTCCTCCACCTCCCCCCAACCCTCCCCCAGCATAATTTACTTTGTGCCATCTGCTGAGCTTCGCATTGCATTAACATAATGGCAGATGAAAACACAGAGCTAATTTGGTTAGAAGGGGCCAGGTTTTTCTTTCGGGTATCTGTCTGTGAAGGTTAAAAGCATGGCAAGACTTCAACAAGGAGGAGTGCTCTCCCCAACACGCTCCCATGCAAGAGGTAGGCACAGTCCCAGAAGGAGCTTTCCCAAAACCTTCTGGAGATGCCCTCTGCTATAGAAGCACCACAGGGACACTGCTTCACACTTACTGCACCGTTTTCAGCGGTCAGCCTCGAAGCGCATCACCATCGAGGCTCTCACCTCGCACAGCCGTACGCAACAGTCTGGCTTAGAGGAGTAGTGAAGGCAATGAAGGTGCCTGGGAAGTTTGGGACCAGCCTTATGTAGAAGGGTTGTCCAAGAGGAGAAAGCTGGACCTGACAACTCTGGGACACAAGACTGGAAGGGGCTTCCTAACACCAGAAAGCAATGGTGTGCTTTCCCAGGAGCACGGGCTTGCAAGGTGGCTCCCCCAGGGAGCACCTTCTCAGCAGAGTAGCTTCCGTTTACAAGACAGCTTTGAAAATCATAGAATCACAGAATCATGAAATGGTTTGGGTTGGAAGGGACCTCAAAGATCATCTAGTTCCAACCCCCCTGCCATGGGCAGGGACATCTTCCACTATACCAGGTTGCCCAAAGCCTCATCCAACCTGGCCTTGAACACTATTAAAGACCAGTTAGTTATTAAGTGGCCTGTGTAAGTAAGGATTGGCTTTCCACACCATCCCAAAAGATTCGGGAAGGTTTTCACCACGAAACAAACAAAATCTACAGGGAAGAGGACAGATTAAAAAAGAAATAATGTACTGTGCCAGATGCTAAAGTGGTGCATGCTTCCAACCAAGAACACACCCCACAATATCTGATCTCGCTTTCTTAAGAGTAAAATAAAGAAACAGGATGATGAAGTATGAAATTTATAACTGCATCTTATGGAACAGTTATTAGCAGTTACAAGTGGGGGAAATTTGCATCTGTTCATTAAAAAGCATATGTTTAGTTCATTAAAAACATTAATCTTTCCAAGGATATCTTTTACTATTTAAAGGCTCTGCTGATTTAATCTTGATTCCTCAGTTCCAGGTTGATTATTCATTTTGTGATTCACGAAACCTCCCAGTCATCTGGCCTGTTATTTTTGTCAAATATTAGCTAAATGTTTATCTCCTTTCCTGAAAAGCTATAACAAAAGAGGAGACTCCTTCCTTGCAAGGAAATCTCCTCATCCCTCCTTCTTGCGCACTGTTCAAGCCTTATGCTGAGTCCAAGCATAAAGGCAAGAGGCAAAGAGCAGTCATCTTATATAAAGCTTTTTCAGAGCCAAGTTTTTTGGGAAAAAAGGTCTTTCAGCATGCCTTTTTTTCCCTAGCTCCTGTTGAGGCCACTTTAACAAACAACCCAATTTGCCAGTCACCAGGAGTCCCCCCCAAAAGGTCCCACTGAAGTCAACGGCTGACACTGATTGAGTCCTACTTGTCCCGGTGCCAGCAGAGGAGAGTTCCTCTTGCAGACACAGCACTGTCACCTCCGACCACAGCTCTGGCAGCCAGACTTCTTCCCATTAGCAGAGACTCCTGCCACAGAGGAAAGGTGGGCACGCACAGCGGCACGCTGGCCACAAAACATCAGTTTCCAAACATGAGGCATGATAGCAACCAACGTAACCGCAAGCTTCCGACCGATGTTTCAGGAGCATTTATCAAGAACTGGCTTCTCAGCTGACAACCAAACTCGAGGAGGCAGCGTGGCTGAGTGAATCAGGCAGTTTAAATTCCTTAGTTCAATTTAGGGCAATACCTGGCAGGCTGGATTTGGGGTGAAACTCCCTTATCAGAATGAACGATGAAGGCAAAACAATTATTTGCACTTGAGAGGTTTCAGCACAACCTCTGGGAGCGGAGCTGACTGCGCTCTCTACGGTGGATCTGACCACTTAGCTGCTCCTTACTCGTAATTAGTCGGCAAATAATCCAGGTTTCACGTTCTCTTGCTTTTCCTGTTTTCTACAGTCAGTAGTTTTCCTTCTTTTCGGGCACAGGAGTGTACAGCTTCCTACCACAAGCACAAACCATTTTGTCTCCCTCTGGAGAAGCCAGATTCACTTCTTTTTTAGATGAAATCATCAAAGTCAACCTGAAAGCAAAGGGAAGAAGGTGCTGTTGAATTTCAGTGACCCCTGTAGCAAGATCCAAATTATTTCCCTACTCTTCTTGAAGCAGAAAAGCGACTTTGCTTTTAACCTCCTTGCTGCACCAAGCAGATGTAGCCAACTGTTTCTCAACTCAGTTCTTCCAGTCCACCTTGTATTTAGGTCTTCTTCTACCATCACAGTGGCACTTCAAGCATTTCTGGAGATCTTCTCAATCTTCTCTCTGCCTGGTACAAAGTCATTTTCACAAGAACGGAGACACGATCACTCTTTTCACCAACACAGGAATGCTCTTTGACAGGATGTTTTAGCCTGGTTTTTTTTTGTCTGTCTGTTATTAGAGACGCCACAGTTTAAACGCTCCGATCTTTCTTTTGGGAACTTTGAACACATCCAAGCACAAACTCTTCTTGCTGCTTTGCTAACGTTCGCTGTGAGAGCACAGAGGGCAGAACTTGTCCCTTAATGTTCTCTCTAAATATCCCAGCTAACAAGAATGTCTAGAGAAGCCTAGAAGGATTAGACGCCAATCCCCATGAAATTAGTGGGAATTTGGTACTTAGCTCCTGTTAGGCCCCTTTTTAACTCCTAGGATCAAATCTTCCTTAAAGTTCCCGGGCCAGCTCCTAGTCTCAGTTACATCATGTAAATCCAAGCTCTCACCCGTCTTGTCAGTGGAGTTGCTCCAGATTTACTGCCCAGCTCCACGCTAGAATTTGGCTCCCAGGCGACTGCGGGCTGGCAAAGACTTTACAGACCACCTGCGACACCAGGTTCCTCAATGGCATTCCTTCCAGGCTTGCCACGTGCGCTCCGAATACCTCGCGTGACAGGCAGTGCCTCGCTATCGCCCACGCTAAAGGAGAGCTGGCTTGCACGCTCCCTCCTCTTCCTTGCCAGCCATCTCCAGCAGGGATGGGCACTGCCATGCTTCTCCTCTCCGGGTAACTTCGTCTTCTCTCTGCAGGCTACCCGACGTGAGCTCCCAGCTGGCTCTCAATCAGCCCTTTGCAGTTGCGATTCTATTTTTGATGCTCTTTCTTCAAGAATTTAAGAAAGAATGTAAGAATTTAATTTTAGACTCTTAAAGAAAGAGTATCAAATAACTAACACCAAGATGTCCAGGTTTGGGTTCAGTAAGTCTGTATGAGAAGCTGAAGTGACCACTTTCCCTTTAAACCAGCATCATCTCCATGAAAAAAAAGCGGTCCTCCCAATAAGCACCACTGCACTGCCAGTTACCAGCCAGTAACCTGTTATCAGACCTCGACTTCTTAACAACCACGCTAATTACCTTCCCCAGAAATATCACTCTCAGAACTTCTGAGTCAAACCCCCATCATGCAGACAATCTCGCTCTTGAAGCACGCAGAGTTTGTCACTTGAGGTAGCTGTTTCATTTAAGGTACTTTTCAATGAAGAAGGAAAACGTCCACACCATCCTACACAAAAAAGACAATCCTCTAAGCGAAGCAATTTTAGTTTCCTGCTGAAATACGGTGCCAACGTTGGAATCCACTGCTATCAACAGCGGAGGGCTTATTAACACAGTGCTTATTTAAATCTTATTTACACGTCAACGCAGGTATTCGCTATTTTTTAAAAAAGAGACTATTTAATCATTTGTACCCTGGGCAAGCACAAGCTCACTCTTTAAGGAAACTAAATCTACATCCACAGTCCCGTGAGACCCAAGATATTTTAGTTGGTGTCAAACACTGGGTCTGCTGTTACAGGGAGAACAGAAGCATGAACAGACACACTTTTAATTTATAATTACATGGGCTAATTTGTGGACAGCATCAAAGGGATTCCACTGAGCAACAAGACAGAGAGCAATTAAGCACCTTCATCTCTGTCACCCTCCTCTAACAACGTTGAATTGATGGTGCATCAGACAAAAAAGAGGGAATACACAAAAACAGGGAAAGACCCTTCAGTGGGATGCTCTCTCCAAGTGCCTATGCAAAAACTACAAGAAAAAACGGCTCCTGCCCAACATCTTGGGCATTGTTACCTTGGGCAGCTCTTGCACGCCCACCTCCTACAAAGCCATTCACTAGCACAGCCAATACAGTCTCTACGTGACGTCAGTGGTCAAAGGGGAGACCTTGCCTATCTCTAGATGCAGAAATCTAATCATTTAGCACAATAGTCTGTCAGCAGCGTCAGAAATTTGAGTTTTTAAAGAGGTACACTTGCACCCTTAGACATTTAAACCCCCTAACTCCCCTGGGACTCAACTGGAAGGTGGCACCTGAAGAGCTGATGGCGCTGGTCCGCTTGACTACAGGGTTGAAGTTCTGTAGACATGCTGGACATTGTTCCTCGTGTCCTTCCACAAAAGTACACAGAAAGGTTTGAAACAGTCTCCTGTTGCATCTTATTGTTTCCTTTTAGCATTGCAGGAATCCAGTGCATGAAGCTATCGGGATACTCTAAGGGGTATGGGTACAAGATGGGGCAGTCCTTTACAGGGGACTCTGACCATGCCTGGAACGCCGTCTACCTTGATGGAAGGTGGCATTTACTCGACAGCACCTGGGGAAGTGGTACTGTTGACAACTCTTTCACCAAGTTCACCTTCAGGTAAAGAACCATCCTCTACGTTAATGCAGAAACCCACCCCAAAGGCCAAAGAAAGCTGATGGGTGTGATAAGAAGCACCAAACAATGACAAATTTTAGGTCCCAGAGCAAGACCCAAAGCCCCAAGCAAGGTATCAGGGCTGCCAATACAAGGGATGGAGCACGTACCTGTAGAAAGGCAACAGCCCCGAGCAGCAGGCTGCGTAACTGTGAACTTGTTTTGCTTATCACATCTTCGCTTTATGCAATACTACGTGCCACTTGATTCATGGCTTTCAGCTGCCCGAGACACTTTCAAACAAGCAGCAGTGCCTCCCTCTTGCTTCAGGAGCTCATGGTTGAGGGGGGTGGTGCAAATACCCTGGTTTTATCCAAAAGCTCAGCATGTGGCCTGGAAATGGAAGGCTCAGGTTCTTTCTCTGCCTGGAAAATTTCAAACCCACAGATCTCAGTTTCTCAGCAGCCCCAAACACTCTGAAACCACCACCACTGGGCAAGGGAAGAATTAACTACTTATAATTACTCATTCTCCTCCAATCTCTTCCTTCTTCCAGGTACAATGAGTTTTATTTTCTGACTCACCCGGCTCTGTTCATTAACAACCACTTCCCAGACAACAGCAACTGGCAGCTTCTTAACCCAACCCTGACGCTGCAAGATTTTGAGAAAAACATGCTGCACAAAAGTGATTTTTACATGTTGGGCCTGCTGACGGCACAGCCAGAGACAGCTGTCATCCAAACAGGTAACACCTTGCAGAGGGGAAGCTGCAGAGCATCCTTCCTTACGCAGCCCTGCACCCACCACGCACTGTTGTGCGCGTACTGAATTACATTTCCAGCTTGGTTTTGGCAAGCAGAGTGCACTCAAAGCTCTTGGGGCAGAGGAGGGTCTCTTTTCTTTTTTTTTTTTTTTTTTTTTTTTTTGTTCAAGGTGTGAAAAATTGTAGTAGCTAGCCCCTGGGTCTAAAAGAAAGCCTCAGTCAGCAGCTGAGGATGAGTTTCTCTATCCGCCAGCATCAGCGGTACAAAATTAGAAGTACTGCTGCTATGTATTAGCAACTCTGGCTTGGAAATGAGATTAAAACCTTTTACGACGTTCCTGAAGTTTGAATTACTGAACAGCACGCAAACAGGCATTTCTTTGTGCAATACACAGCACCCTGAGTGAGCCCAGCAGCTCCTTCAACACAAAACTACCCAGGTAACATCACTGAACCACAAGGGCCACGTTTCAGACCGCTTTCCTCTCATTTTAAGAGAGCTGCAGAAATTTAACTCATTTATGAATGCTAAGAACACAGAGTTAAAACTTAAAGGCAACAACATCTTAGGATTTAATGTCTTCAAGCTGTTTGGGAACAGGCTCATGGGGAGGTAGATTATTTCATATCCACATATTGGAGGGTTCCTGCACTTTTCTCTGAAGCTTCTTGGAATAACCATTCTGGACCAGCAATCAGGTCTAATTACATCTAATTAAGCCCTTCTTTAGCACACGAGGTGACGGTACTTTCAGTTATATTCCATACAGGCCGTCATATTCTATAGGCCCACAGCTCCATTTCAGTGTATATCAAAACAGGATAAATGCACATCTCCAAAACAAAGGCTACTGTTCACCTCCTTCTTTTGGAGGGACACTGGTCTCAGCAGACAGCTGACAAGCTATGGACCTGTCAATGGCAGCTCTTTCTCTTACTATTAGGGAAGCTGCAATTTACTGGGACCAATTAGTACTCCCAGAAAAGGGTGTACCTGCAAAAAATGTCCCGAAACTCCTATGAGGTCTCTTTTCTTTTCCATTTCACAGTAAACGGAAAAGCCTCTGTATCAGTGGATTGCCGTTCTGCCACGTTATTCATGTTCAAGCTGAAGGGAACAGATGAACACGGCTTAATGACGTTGAAAAAACACGGAATGAAGCTGGAAATCTACCCCCAGAAGACAGGGAATCACAAGCTGCAGATCTTTGCCAAGCCCTCCAAAGGCTCAGAGGAGCTCTACGACTGCGTGTTAGAGTATGTGGTAGATTGCAAGTCTGTGGACAAGACCATGCGCTTCCCAAAGGGCTTGCATCAGCCTGTTGGACCAAGCTGGTTCACGGAGCGGCACGGGTTCCTGAGGCCGTCACACCCCGACCCCATCATCCACACCAACGACGGGCGGTGCTCTGTCACCTTCACCCTGGGCAAAGACATCAGCGTCTTAGCCTTGCTGCACTCCGATGACAGCCGCCTGACAGAGGACATGAGAAGGCGGCACATCATGCAAATCCGTCGTGGGAACCAAATTGAGTTGAAGATCCATCTCCCCCACGCAGGGACCTTCGTCCTGAAAATCTACGCCAAGAAGAAGTCGGATCCTGGCAATTACGACTACATCTTCAACTACCTCATCACTTGCCTGAACACTGAAGTGAAGTGGCCAGCTTTCCCCAAGACTTACACCGAGTGGGCGGAAGACTATGAAATACTGGAGCCGCTCTCCGGCTTGCTGCCGGCGAATCGCAACGTTCAGTTTCGACTCAAAATGCACGGGATAAGAAAGGTGCTAGTTGAAGCTAAGAAAACTTACACCCTCACCCAGAGCAGAGGCTACTGGGAGGGAACCTGCAACACTTCGGGATGCAGAGAGGTGGTTGTGATGGTGCACGAGAACGCTAACCACAACTTCTACTCACACGTCCTGCAATACGAAGTTGAGACTCAGTAACGTCCCCCTCCTCGTTCTTTCACTCACCTGCACGAACCAACGTTTCCAACGTGCCCAAAACCAATACAGCTTTAGGAGACCGCTCGTCCCCTCGATCAAATCCGTTCTTTCAACAAATGCAGGACAACATTTGCAGGCTTTTGCAAGACCAAGGGCTCAAAGAAGTTCAAAGAAGCAGAAAATCCTGTTAAGAAGGGAGCAGCAGTGGAAGAAATTAAATAAAACCCTCACCTACATTTCAGTTAATACTGTCCAGACAAACATTTTGAAGAAAACAACTGACTCTCTGGCCATAGGTCGTTCAGCACCAGCAGCAATTGCTGGTTTCCAAGTTATGGACCATAAGAAAAGTCTTACAATGGCTACTCCAAGAAGAATCCACCTAGTTATGGGGCAGGATGCAGAAAGTACACCCTGGTTTTGAGCAGCAATATGGGACACAAGGAACTTCAGGATATTTACACCGAGCTTCTGTATATCTTCAGTCAAGTTGCAAAACACATCCCGGGAGAGAGAAGCGTTAAGAAGAAGATGCGACGTGAAGTTTTCTTGTGCACTTCATTGTCTTACAAATCTCAGTGATACTGCGAAATGACTTTTTACACTGACTCTTAAATACAATAAACAAAATGATTTTTACCTTTTTATATTAGAGTATTTGAATTGTAAACATTTTTTTTCTGCAATATGAATCACTGTAATCGTATCTCAAGCATATAGGTGTTTCCGTAACTAAAACTACAGCAAAATGTAGAATAAAGTTCTCAAAAATCACTCCTTACTCCAACTTGTCTATGCAATACTGCAACTAAAGAACTTCAGGAGTCATGTGGAATAGCAGGCTGAGTGACGTTATTATCATGGAAAACCTATTTGGTGCTGTACTCTTGGAAAAGCCCCTGCATGCACAAGGCAGAGGTGGTCTTTAGAGAATCCCACCACAAATACACATCATAGGATCAAGCAACATTTTCATAAACGATTCAGTGCCTGTAAGCGTTAGCACGACCCAAGAGTTACGATGTTTGAGCTTGAATTTAAAATAAACCTAGTATGGTTTTGCATTCTATTTCATTGACCACATGACACAAATCCCTCTTCCCAAAGCTGCTGCATTTTCCACACGAAATATGTGGGTTATTCCTACACTCTTGTCCTCCTCAGTGACTGGGTGGCAGAAGTTATACACAGCGAAGGGCTGCCCATCCGTAGCCAGCTCGCTGCCTCCGAGCCCTCCTACATTACTCCCTCTGCCCCAGCAACCAGGCTTGAGTCCCCATTTGAAGCAAGTTGAGCGAGTGCACGGAGTACCCGGAGTAGTATCTGAGTAGCAGAACTCTCAGGGAGGACGCAGACTACTGCAGACACGAGTTGCAAGTACAAACACGATGAGCAAGCTAACAAAGCTCACTCTAGGATGCCAGGAGTGCAGCAACGCTTTGGGGTCTTTTTGTACTTGGAGACAAGGAGGCTCCATACGTGACATAAAAGTATGTTTTAAGTCCTCTCCCAAACAACTAAGTGTCTTTGCCCTCAAAAATGGGCAGCAGCAGCTTCTCCCTGCAGGAACGCTAACAAGCCTTGTAGCCCAGCAGGCATCCGTTCCCTGGACAGCAACACAGATGCAAGAAAGACTCGGGGATTTTTTGATTGCCGGGGACCTTGAAGGCTAAAGCAAGCCGTGTCTGTAAGCACAGACAGCCCTGGTTTATTTCGGTGCCTAGCAAAAGAGGTTTTTTTTTTCCTTAGATCCCATTTTTCAGATCAAGGAGGACACGTTTCAGCAGCTTTCTTCTCACAGGTCAAGCTGATCCAGTCAAATACATCACTTCTCACAATGAGAGGATAAGGAGGCATTCCGGAGAGCTCAGCCACTAAAGCAAACACTTTTTCCACACAACAGGGTCAAGGATACCAAACTACCCACGCCCAAATACTTGATGTTCACTCACACATCCACAAACAGGCACAACCAGTGGGCAGCCGGGGTAAAGCCGCTACGCAAGTGTGAATGTGGTCCCTGCTCTTCTTGTCTCAAAGCCTTTCTCTAACTCCACACTATTTCTGTCTCAAGATGGCAGAGGGAAAAAAAAAAATTATCCCAAGGGAGCAGAGAGGACAGTTTACACACTATTGCCCCCGACCTAGCAAGATCTCCAGGAGCATTCCCTCCTCCCTCTGCACAACGCTGCAAAACCCAGACACCTGCAATTATACATATATACAGGGACAAACGTATTGAACCCCTCAAAGAGGGACCCAAAGCACTGTCACACCCACGGCAGAACGTCTGTAGCACACGAAAGACGGACAGAGCCTGCAACAGCTTCCCGCTTTCGAGATGCCAGGCTGGTACAAACAGAAGTAACGCAGCTAAATTTCCATGTTTTTGGTTCAAACGGAAAACAAACAGCTGGCTCAGCCCTGCGAAGGCAATAAGAAATTCTTCGCTGCTATCGAAGGCAGGAGTTCAAAGGCACGAAAAAACTCTCTCCAGCTTCATTAATTATAAAGCTGCCAGGGCCAGGTGATTATTCCAAGGGATGCTTGACACTGCAAAGGCAGGGAAGAATGCCTGAGAAACCCTGCAGCCTCAGATAAAAGCATCTCAGAAGTCTGTACTTGCTGTGACATCTCCCTCCAGGATAAACAAGTCTCTTTCTCCTCCCTCTCATAAAAAATGCACATTCTTCAGCATGGCCAAGACTCTAACACCAGGAGAACATCTCTGGAACACACTTCTCGGTTATCTCCAGCCTACCAGCTCTCCCACGCCAGTCAGAGCTCTCCCTTGGCAGGCCCCAGGACTGAACAGTTCTTGCAATTCCTACGCCACCAAGAGATGCAATTACTTAGCACTACGAATTCAGATCACTCAGTTTTGCACACATCTTGTTTCCCAGTGAAGGTAAATTAAACATGCATAGAACAAGTTTTTTATCTCTGGCAAGCGTATCTCTGCGCTTCCATCTACTCACGAGCTAGCTTCCTCACCCAGGGAGCAAAAACTGGTAGTAAACAATCCGACGCACTGCTGTTTCCACGCTGGCCGTGAGAAAGGCACATGCTTAAGAAACAAGCAGCGCAGTGAGAGCAGGAAACTGTTCAACTCATCACACTGCCTTCCTCAACCTCTGTCCTCCTCTCCTGTTGTCCATGCACAGCAGCTCCAGAAACTGCAGCCACCCCAGAGTCCATGGCACTGTGTATCTGCAAAGAGAGAAGGTGGGAAAGATGGAGCACGTACACCAGCACAGAGGAGTAATGCATTAGTTCCTCTGTCACAAATTTTACTCTTTAGATCAAACTTTTTCAGCCTACTCCCTGAATGAAGCTGCTTAATACATATATTAGAAATTGATAAATACTGCAGGATTATAGCTGCTAATTAAACAAATGGATCTTCTTTAGTTTTGCTCTTCGCTTCTGCCGACACGAACTGCCAAACCTCTCTAAAGGAAAGGGACACGGAAGCAAACATCACTAATGAGCCAAAATGGCTTCTGAACTTCTGAAAACACTTAGTGCACGACGTAGCTTGCTCAGCAGATCTTCAGGAAACAGAAAATGGTTTGTAAGGTATCATTTTAAAACCAGTATTGCTGTCACCACCGAAGGACACGAGGAATCCTTAAGAGTTCTGGCATACCACATACTCCGTGAATCTACAGGTTTATGCAGGAAGGGGAAACACAGTTTTCTCTATTTGCCCATTCAGTTGTTGTCAAAATGCCCTCACCTGAGATCTGGGAAGGCAAGGTGGATGTTCCGAAAACATGTTACCTGTGGACAACTCCAACCAGGAACTGACGTCAATGCTGACTCTGTGCCAAACACACGACCGCAGCTCATCCCCAGTTGTGGGCAGTCAAAACACCTCCTTACAAAGACTGCACAGCGAGAATCCAGAATGGATTTGAAGGCTTTATCCTTGTTCAAAGAACTCCAGATGAAAGCCAAAATAAAAGGACTTGTTGATTCAAATGTTTTTCAACTCTGGAACGCAGGATTGCTTGACCAAGTGCAGTCCCATTTTATGGCATGACAAAGAGGGTGCAGTCTGCAGACGGGCATCACCTTTGCTGAACTCATCTGCCTAACCTGACAGTTGGTTTTTGCATGTGTATGCTGCTTTTGGATTCCTGTTTCTTTACAGTCTTAAGCTGCTCTCGGACAAGGTGAAGCTGACAGAAAGGAACAGGAAACACAGAGATGGACAAGGGATGTCTCTGTCGCCAGGTTTGCCTGTACAAAGGTTGTAAAGGCTCAGCCACAGAACTACTGCAGGGTGCCACTGGAAGAAAGGCAAATCCATAGGAAACGGGTTCTGTTCACTCATTAACAACTTGTTTTCCTTGAGGAAGGACTGAATATATTCCTCAAAGCAGGTCACAGATGTATTTTAATGCAGCAGTTCAACTTGACTGGACAGTGTGAGCATCTAGATTCAAACCAGGCTGATACCAGCTTACACAACAGCTGCAATTACATCTGCCATACAGATGAGTCTCACTTGCTTATGGGTGTTTATCTCCTCCCATCCAATCTCATTTTCAGTTCCAACTACTCTCCTTTCTTTTCTAAGAGCTGTGACCACAGTCAGAATTCAGCCATTCAATCCTCAGCTGTTTTGCAGTACTTCAAGCAATGTGCAAGGCAAGATAAAGATGCCAGATACTATACAAACAGCAAAGGGCAGAAGTTGCAAGAACCAGGAAATATTCAGATATTCCACTAAGGGAAAATTAACTGGAGAAAATACATGTAGCCTAAAGGAAAGAGAAATTATATTCCCTGTTCCTTGAAGAACATAGCTACTCTGGGAGGGAAAGAATGGAAAAGGTGTTGATCAAAGTTCCAGATAAGAAGGCATGATAAGCCACAAGAAATTTACTCTGTATATTTCTAGGAACAAGAAAAGAGGTGTTTAAACATTTTCTTTTATTTAAATGCTTTTACACGTATAAAACATACTTAAAATATTTTACATTAAAATTAGCAAATGGTTTGCTTCTAAAAAAAACACCACAATCTCTGTGAGTGCACAAACACGTACCTCTGACGCAGCTTTCCGACCTCCCGCAAGCTGACTAAAGCGTTTGTGGTGTAATACCCTCCATCAAATCAACCATGTCAGAGAGGAGTTTCCTTTCCTCCATATCCATCCCGCTAATTCAGCTCAAACTGGGAGATACGGCCTCTCACTCAAGCTCCAACAGCAACTGGTTTAGAGGTACCTCCCCAGTTGCAGTGTGGAACCATGTAAGCAAACCAGCGTTCAAGTTCAATGAGAAACGTTACTCCTGGTGTCCAAATTCTCTCACTATCTTTTGACTCTCTTTTTTCAGCTCCTCAATGTGAGCGTTTAGGCACTCCAGGATGTGCTGGGATCTCACTTCTTCCTCTTCCAGGTATCTTGCAGCTATCGATCCAACTGAAGATGCAGGCAAGGAGCACTAAAGGGAAACAGAGATATCAGGTATTCATCCACTCAGAGGAGTGGATCTTCAGCCAGAGACACTACAGATCTGCAAACCATGCAACTAAGTATGCTTCTGAAGGGCTCTTGTGTCATTTCTATCTTACTGGACAGACTAAGCACTCAGCTCTCACGCTTGTATTGTAGGTAAATGTCCCAACCAACAGTGAAACCCTTCCAAGCCTTTGCCAAAACTGCAGGGAGTAAAACTGGTACCTCAGCAAACAACTTCTCCATATCAGCAGTTCCCCTCTCTAAGGCACTGAGGGGGCTAGAGCTGAACAGAAACAAGCTCCCCATGTGCCTACACAACTGTTGCACTTCACAGGTGGAACCTTGACCCCAGAGGTATCAATAGGAATTGGCTGTTTACTTAGGGAAACTGGAGTTTCACTTCAATTACCAGCCCCTCCACTTAAAAATAATGACTGGGAATGACATGGCATGTGCAATCATAGCCCAACTCTACAGAAGGTCACTACAAAATACCAAGGGTTTTGTCCTGGGTGTCTTAGTGCAGCCTCACCCTTAACATCTACATCTTGCTCCTTGTCTTCATAAAAATCTCAGTGAGCAGTATCTCAGAATATGGGTTCCAGGAAAGGGAAAGAACTGCCAGACTGGACCAGTACCAGGAGTATCTCTGCTTTCTTTTATATACCTCCTCTGCTTCCCTGAATTAACAGGTTCCTGCTACAATCCCACAGGGGAAGTACAGACCGAACTCCCATGGTAGCTCACCAAACACCACTCCAGTTCAGCTAGCAACGGTCAGTAAGCTACCCCAGATTCTTTCCTTCACAGTCAAGAACTATTCCTGCTACTCACATCACTTACCCACAAGTTCTTAACTTACAAAAATAACATCGTGAACTAGCCTTAATTTACGAGTTGAAGCAGCAAAGCTTCCTGCACAAGGGCTGGCAGGTGAATTATAAAGTTACTAAGGGGCTGCTTTCCATTACAGAAAACTCGCCTCAGTGTCTTGGAAAGAGAAGGTAACTGGTTACTTCCAAATCCTGGAGTCTCGTGGTTTTCCAGTTTTCTACCAACAGCCAGGAACAAAGGGAAGCAGAAAAAACGCTGCAGATAACAAGCAAATCTCTCCTATCCCACTATTGCCTACTGATAAGAATTCTTCTCTCGATGTTAAAGGAACAGATTTAAAGATATGGGAGCCCGACCGTGAGCAGGGAGTCCCAGTCAACACCAGGAGAAATATTTGCTTTTCCTTAGAAACCTTATGTCTACCTCTCAGAACAAAAAGCGGAACATTCTCTTCTACTAAACATCAAGTCCTAAAGCTTCCCAGACCCTGAAGTGGAACTATTCACACTTCAGTTCCAATCCTACATTCTGGAACAGTTTCCATTTAGAATATTACAGTTTCCTAAGCTCCCAACATTTGTTTCCTGGACATGTCCACAGCTACTTCAGTCTGGAAACGATCAAGACCTATTCTTGGTAGCAAACATCATCAAAATCTACAAAGCTGAGAAGCCTCTGCTTATCCGTGCATCAGCCTTAGAGACTCTTCTTCTCTGGGCTCCCTACGAAATAAAAATAACTGTTGCCATTGCTAACAACACACAACCAGAGGAGAAAATACTCTGAAGACTGCTAGTGGCAACATGTCTGGAACAAGGATCAGCACCCAGGATTCCTCCCTCCCTGAACTACTGCAGCCCTGTCTGACCCATGGTATGACAATTACTCCCAGTGTCCCTCCACCATTCCCCTCCCTGTGCAAGTCAGTCTACAGCCTGGTCATTACTGGGAGATACGGTCTTAAACTCCACAGGCAAGAAGTGATCGAGTCGAAATTTCCTGTATCTTGGGCAAGTGCTTCAACAATCGAGCTGAGGTGAAAGGACAGAGAAGGTGTCGACACTGCTCTCTACTGAAAAAAGCATGATGAGAAAAATAATGGCCTCCCCTTTGCAGTGAAGCACTGATTTCAGGCTTTCCCGTCAGCTGGCAGAAGTGGCTTTAAGTTCAGTGTGATGACTACTGCAGTCTCATTCTGGACTATAGCATCCAGTTCTGGAGCCCCCAACATAAGAAGGACGCGGACCAGTTGGAGAGGGTCCAGAGGAGGGCCATGAAGATGATAAGAGGGCTGGAGCACCTTTCCTATGAGGACAGGCTGAAAGAGTTGGGGCTGTTCAGCCTGGAGAAGAGGAGGCTCCGGGGTGACCTTATAGCGGTCTTCCAGTACCTCAAGGGGGCCTACAAGAAAGATGGGGAGAGGCTGTTCAGGAGGGCCTGTTGTGATAGGACAAGGGGTAATGGTTTTAAAATAGAGGGAGGTAGATTCAGGTTGGATATTAGGAAAAAAATTTTTACCATGAGAGTTGTAGAACACTGGAACAGGTTGCCCAGAGAGATGGTGGATGCTCCATCCCAGGAGACGTTCAAGGCCAGGTTGGATGAGGCCCTGAGCAACCTGATCTAGTTGGAGATATCCCTGTTCCTTGCAGGGGGGTTGGACTAGATGACCTTTGAAGGTCCCTTCCAGCCCTAACCATTCTATGATTCTACGATTCTATGATTCAGAGGGGTCAAACTCGCCCTGTGCATTACAGGGAACGCAGACGTGCAGCGCCAGCTTTCGGATTCACCCACAAACTGTGTGTTGAAACACTCAGCCCTCTACATCCACTGTGAGCCAAGCCAAAAGCTGAAGCAGAATTCTGATGTGACCGCAGCAGTTCAGGGTACACACTGATGTACAGCACCAGTCTGGAGGGAATCATGAGCTTCTGGAATGAGCTTATCGGTTGAATCAAACACAGAGCCCTTCCCCAGAGAGTTCTGAAGAATAACCACGTGGCTCTCATCGTCCAAGTACTAACCATCCAGCAGCAGTTTTTCCTCCCTGTTGAACGTTTGATGTATGCCTAAAGAATCATACACACCATGAGGCCAGACCAGACATTCAAAAATGTGGCTCCTTTCACCAGATGAGAACCCAGCTATACCCTCAGCTGTTGAATAGCAACCACCTTCTGTACAACTGCTTAAACTGCTTACCAAAGGCACAGATTCTCTCTGATCATTTGAGATGGACTGCTTAGATGCTTCATCTGCAAAACTTTTGCTTCCATCCAGCACGTGGAGCAAAGAATCCATTCCCAGCAAAGCAAGTGACTCCGGGCGGTTCTTCCTGCTGGTCTGGGTGGGTGGCTCACCCGTCTCAGGGGGCACAGTTCCTATTTCAGCAGTCCCCCATATCTGGGGCTTGCCCTGATGATGCTCAACAGTCCCATCAGGCTTGCGATGTATTCTCTCTGCCTGTTCATCATGTTTGTGCTGTGCTTCCCGAGTTGTCCTGGAAGGCAGGTTTGAACACTTAACTGTTTGACAGTTTGCCTCTTGGCTAGCTGAACTTTAGCAACAACTCTCACAGAGGTAACAACTAACAGAGGTTACTAATAGCCCTGGCAATCCAAACTGGCTCTTGTTTCCATAGGATTTCCAGACGCACGTCCAGTCTTTAGGAAATTCTCTCTCACTCTCCTGCTATTGTAGATACCAAAGGCTACGGTTTGTACATCCTAGTACTGCAAAAGAAGGGAGCACAGCCACCTGGGCCTCATCTAATCCCATCACCGAAAGGAGCACATACTGCTTCTCGACCAAATTAAAAGGCAAAGGCAGGCAAAAGGCAGTCAAACACTAGCTGGCTTTGCAGAATACAAACCAGCTGGGACTACAAGCTATTGCACTGCTGAAAGCATAAAGGCAGCTTCCAGAACAGTCCTTTGTGCTCTCCCATAGGTACTGTGTGCTGGAGACGGATGCTACACATAAAGCACATCATTAAAACCCCACATATCCCCACACCTTCTGTTCTCCTTTATAAATAAGGAAGCAGCACCCTCGGGGTCACGCGACGCTCACCTGTCCTGCACATCCCTGGCCTCAGGCTCTTTGTCTTGCACCTGCTGAGCAGTGCCCTCGGGTTCGTCCTGCTGGGTGAGCTCCAGTTTCGGTCTGGCCTCTGCTAGATCCTTCCGCAACCGCTGGTTCTCAGATTTTAATCTATTTAGTTCAACAGCATAGCCTTCACTGAGCGCTCTTAGGGCGATGTCTTTTTCCTAACAGACAGAGAAGGGCTGAAGTCAAAACTTCTGATTTGCCAGGCACCATAGTTAACTCCAGAGCAAAGGCCAGCAGGCGATTCCTTAAGGCATATCCTCTAATCCTGGTTCTGACCGGCGATATTTTCAAGGCTTTCATGAGAGCAAACCAATTATATATGTCCTATCGTGTCTGCACCCAGACAAGCTGTGCTGATCTGCCTAGGAAGGGAAGTCTCTCTCACCACTGGATGCTTCAAGTATCTGCCTCTGCCCTTGGGATAACGAGAACTACACAACCTCGAGTTCTCCTCTAGTTGTATATTCTAGGATTCCCTCACTTATCTCAGCTAAGAAAGGGAAGTCTCTCTCACCACTGGATGCTTCTGAAAACAGGAAAATATAGACCAAGTATCTGCCTCTGCCCTTGGGATAACAAGGACTACACAACCTCGAGTTCTCCTCCAGCTGTATATTCTAGGATTCCCTCACTTAGCTAAGATGCAAGCCTCTCAGCCAAAGCTAGGAACACTCAGGTGCCATCCCAGTAAACTGTCTCAGTCCCAGCAACTCTCCAGGTACCAGAGTAGCAGGGTCTGCCAGATACTTCCTATGGGTGTGAAGAAACACCTACCCCAGTGGCTCAGCTGTTGATGAGAAGTAACCACTCTCCTGAGAAACTATCTTCCATGCGATCTACCAGCAAAGTTGTTTGCAAAGAACACTTCTAGATCCCCTCACTCAAATGAGCAAAGGCCCATGGTAGTGATTATGAAAGGCTGTGCAAACACCTCCCCACCTGGGATGACCCATAGCCCTTTAGAAACTTTCACCGGTAGAAGTGAATTTTTTTTTTCTTTTCGAAACTCTGAATAACTTGCTTCTCTCCATCATCTCCTGTCTAGGCCAGGTGGATATCATTTCCATTGCTTCTACTCCTGTGACATTCCCACTTTCTTTTTGCCAATCCTATCTGAATTAAGTGTCTAAATCTGTCCCATCATTGCTGTATCTAACAACACTCCAAATGTGCCTTAGAAGAACCTGGCTAAGATCAGGAGCTTATGTGCCATTGGGCTGTGAGGCCTTTTTTTACTTAAACAAAAAACAAACAAACATGAACAGGTTTGTTGCTTTGCACTTTGCTATCAGGTTTTTGGTAAGTCAGGCAGGCAAAAGCTGCCAGGCACTTTGAGCAGAAAGTAACGGGCAGTAGGGCATTTCAGTCTCAAATCAGCCCTCTAGAAAGCTTTGGTTTTTCTCCATCTCACCAGCAAGCTTCAGTTCAACGCTCTCCCAAGGACTTGGCACGTTTGACAATCACCCCAAACTAATATTAAGAGCTGAGTATTTCCTTCCCACGGATCTGACAGGATAAAAGCTCTGATGATAGACTCCCATTAGGTTTTCAGCTGTCTGAATCCAGTCCTCGCCCCCTGTGAGGCATCCATTCCGGTTTCCGTGAGGCAGAACTTGCAAACTAGCTCTTTCTTCTTTCATGGAGGCACTAAAATGTACCACCTTCAAGGTATTATTCCTGCACATCTTCCCTGCAGGCTCCTCTTCTCCGCTCTGGATGAGATGCCCTCACCGAGCCTCGAGTGCCACATCAGCAGGAGCCCACCCCAGTGCCTCTTCCCAGCGTGTTGCCCCACGGGATCCAGCCCATATCCACAGGCTACAACCTGCCTGTGGGGTGCACGGGATGGCCCTGCTGAATGGCTCCTCACCGGGAGAGGAACATGCTCTCACCCCAGAAATTGCAAGGACCAGAGCAGTTACAGATCTGAGACAGGTCAAAAGGACATCACAGATTTAGAATCAGAGGTTTGAGGTAAACTGGCATAAAATGGAAATGTTAACAAAACATACTAAAAATCATGGAGGTGAAACTGAGGTGAGGGCTCTGTTTCTGCAGTTCTCCTCGTCACTCTGTGCCTAAACAAGATGCTCAATATTTCCAGGCCTTATTTCCTCACAAATCACCCCTTTTGCTTCAGTTTTAAGTTCACTGAATTCTACAAAGCGTTTTGAGAGGCCTGGGCAAAGACTTTTACTGTTCCCAGGTAGAAGACACACCACACTAGCCCCTTCCCCACCCCGTTCCCTAACGCATACCTCTAGCATACTGCTCTTTGTTTTTTCCAGCATCTCTGCGAGATGACGTTTTTCCAGCCTCAAGGTTTCCAGCTGGACCAGAATTACCTGAGGAGACAGAGGCAAAAAACAAGCTCAAAAACAAACAAACAAAAAAAACCAACACATGCCCACAACACCCTCCAGGCATTTTCCACCCTCAATCCAAGCATGGGTACGACCCCACAGAGAAAGTCAAACAAATAACCATGCACAGTCATTCATTTTAGTTTTCAAAGATGTCATCACCCAAGCCATGAGTGATGTCAAAGAATTCTGTGGGACTGTCAGTTACAGGTTTGGAGAGAAGCAGTGAGACAGATTCAGTGAACACCACAAAGCAGAAGATTTCATCGGAAGGGTCTCAAAGTCTTTGCTCAAAGGCTAGAGAGAAGGAAACCATTAACATAAGCTAAAAACTAGGATGGTATTCCAAGCCTTCAGATCCCTTAAAGAGCAGCACAAGAGTCTTCCATCTTTTTTACCCTGTTCTCCACCGCTCTCCTCTCTGCTCTTTCAACCTCTGTTTTCAGCCGTTGTTCTAGGTCTGACGTGGAGCAATTGGCAGACATGATTGTGATGTCCCGCTGGTGCAGCTCTTGTGTCAACCTGCAGATTTCCCTTTTCATCCCTTCTAGCTCGCTGCTGTGAGTTTGTTCAGCTTGAGAGAGCTGCTCTTTCAGCTGGAGGAAGATATGTGCACACACCACCCACGAGCTTTTAAAAAGATGTTTCAGCAAAAAAGCAAAAGTATTGCACATGGTAACGTGAAATCTAAGTACAGGAAAACAAAAGGCTCTATGTTACGAGTCCCCTGTGCATGCTTGTCCTTCTTGATTGAAAACCACCTCACCCCAAGCCTTTTCCACACCATAAACTGCCAACTGAGACAAGACATAAGTTACATGCTGTGGAGTACTGGAGAAGACCCATGATTGATCAAATCACAATCTCTTCAGCTCACCATTCTACTTCTGCAGCCAACAACAGACACCCAAGGGTTTCCATCACCGGGCAGACACAGTAACACTTCCATCACATAACCCTGCAATTTGCCACTCCGCCTTCCTGAGGCAGAGATGGGATCTTTAAATAGCTCTAGCCAGACTTTTCTTCCACGAATTTGTCTAAAGTCTTTTGAATTGGTATTAGCTTATAGCAACTAAAGCTCCCCATGGCAGACTTCCACGAGCTCGCTATGCACAGGGTAAAAATACACCTCTTTGTTTTCATAACTCCATTTGATCACCACTAGTCCCCGCATTATGAGGGAATAATCGTTCCCTATTTACGTTCCACATGACAGGCATGATTTTATTTTTAGTACGTTCAATCTCATTTATCTCTTTTCCAGTTTGGTAAGTCCTGTTCCATTCAGCTGTTCCTTGTATAAAAAGCACTCCATCCTTTTGGTCATCTTTTTCCATACCTTATCTTGCTTTATTCAATTCTTTTTTTAGATAGCAGACCTGAACTGCATATCATATTCCAGTAGGCACACCATGTATTTATTCTGTGACATAACAGAACAATAACACAGCATAATTTCTTCCCTAGTATTCCATTCCATTAACCAGAACTATTAACCACCCAAACCTCCAAGATTTTTCTGAGAATTACAAACATTTTAGAAAATTGAACCAGATGATCCTTGCCTAGCCATGTAAATACTACGCATATGGTGATTTATCTCCACGTCACCTCAATGCCTCCCAAGTATATAAAATAGAAACAACCATAATAAATCTCTCTTTCCTCCCCAGCAGCCTGCAGGAGATTCATTTACTGCGTGGCTGTTTAAATGGGTAACCAAGCACGCATCTCTGGCAGGATCTGCATCACTGTACATTCAGAATAAAGGATGAAAGATTTTCACAGAAGTAAGGTTTTTCACTCAAGTCCAATAAAGTTTCTCCTCTAATCAGGCTCCAGTGAAAGCTCTTACACTAACTGACGTGGACCATTACTAAAAGTCGAGCCTTTTGGAGAGCTTGCCTCCCTCGGGTGCACAGAGCACTAGGGTGAGGCTCCCATGGCAGAGGAGCTGCTCCATTTCTTCCAGACCCTGGTTCACCCCTAGGTACTGGGTCTGAAAAAACCCCCTTATTCACATACGGGCTAGAACACACCTGAAGCCCTGTCTCAAGTGTGATAGGACATATAACAGCAAAACCCATTCCCTCCTTGTTCATCGTCCTCTTAGGAGCCCGTATTAGGCATAAACTCAGGATTCCAGATCCTCATTCCTCAGAAGGAACGGCTGACTCCACAGTGCCTTTCCCACTCTCCAGGAACCAAGGGACATTACCTTTTTAATCTCTGCCTTTGACTCAGTATGGTGTTCTTCCATTGACTGCAGCTCTTTCATATTCTTATCCAGCTCCTCGTTCAGCTGTACGCACCTTGCATCGGAAGACACCAGGCTGGGCGCCAAATATAAAAAAACTACAGATTAGAATACCCCAAGGAGGAGGGCATGGTCAGAGAAGCTTTGATCTTCCAAGCAGTCTCCTATGTCCGTCATAACAGAAACCGGACTCTTAACCGAGAAGTTCCTTACCAATCCTTTGGTTTTGTTCACCGAAATAATTTCAAAAAAGATCAGGAAGCTGATCTAACAGAAAAGAGCTGTTTCTTGTTTGTTTCTTTACCATTCCAAGACGACAAACTTCCCATGCAAACAGCAGCCGAAAAACCACAAACTCAGAGAGGAAGACTTGTTTGTACTTCTTATTTCCCAGTAAGGTCTAGATCCAGTTCTTACCAGTTGACTAACAAAGACTCCGTAGGCTATTCCCAACGAAGGTGCTAAGCCTAAGCAAGCTAAAACACCGAAAACACCCACAGCGTGCGGAGAAAAGCAGCCAACCAATTAGCAAAACAGTCCCACTATTAAACTGCAAAATGAAGAGCACTGGATTTCTCCAGCCCTTTGATATTTAAAATAAGACTACAAAAATGAGAGAGACTGGTTAACTTGATGAAGACATTAGGTATTATATTATACAAGTTTCATTGCACATGCAGCAAGCAGTCAGCTACCTGTTCTCCAGATGAGTCACTTCTGACTGTAAGTCCTGTTCCTTCTTCTGGGCAACATCCAGCTGCAGTAGTACATGCTCCAGCTCCAGCCCCGAAGAAAAGAACTGGTTCTCTCGCAAGCGTTCCTCCAAGGCCCTAAGCAAAAACATGAACTTCAATCTCAGCACAGAAACATCATGTCCAAGTTCTCTAATACGGGGAACATAACCACCATTTTCTTGGAATTCCCTGAAAAATACACAAAACCCAACACTAGGTGACACCTGTGTGCATTGTGAATAAGCAAACACACCAGGTAGATGACAGCCCCTTCTTTGAGTTCAGGCTGACTAAAAAAAGACCACCCCCTATTCTGATGTACGCTTCCCGGATCCAGACAGTCTCCCTGCCGTTGGCAGACACTCAACTTGCAAGAAATGGTGTGGCTGCTCTGACATGGCCATCAGAACCCTACAGCTTTTGCATGTTGCCAGCACAGAAGGGGAAGGCCAAGATGATTCTGTCACATAGGTAGTTCCTTTACCAAGACCATAATCTGACATCATCAAATCGGTGAGAACTTTCACCTACGTTAATAAGCACAGTATCCAATCCTGAAAAGCCTTCAGCACTTGACTGAAAATGCCTGGGGGAAAAAAAAAAGTGAAAAGCCTCCAGAAAAAGTGGTGCCTCCAGAAACCTAGTTGAGTAGAAAGCTGATTCCTTCCGCGCTCTTCACTGAGTATCAGTTGATTTCAAAAGCAATACAACTTGGCAAATGCTGCGAGGAAGCACAGCACTTGTGAGAAACTACAGCATATCATTCTACGTATCAACCGATACGGATCCAGCTGTATGAAAACACTTCTACCACCCTCAGTGGGAAAATCTGGAATATAGATCTGGATTCAAGACCATAAGCACCAGCGAGGCACAGATGCTACCTGATGAGGCGTTCTTTTGCGTGAAGAGTTTCAGTCACCCTGTCCAGCTCTTTCTGTAACTGTTCCTGGTGCAGGTTAGAGCTGTCAATGAAATCTTCCTGAGACTGCAAGGTGGCTTTAAGTTCCATCTTCTCATCCTGCAGCACCTACACAGGAGGAAGAAGGAACGACCGTCGCAAGATGGACCAAATCAGTTTGTTGTAAGGCAATGAGAGGTTGATCAGATTTTTAAGGCACCCTTGGAATTACTGCAGAGCACCACATGGGTACAAAGCCAGCTTTAGGGCCAATTACAAAGGCTCTGGAACGAGACAGGAGCTCCAGGATGAAGAGCTTTCCTGCTGCTTCTCACAAGCACTGCTTTATATTCAGTTTCCTAAAAGTTCCTTACTGACCTCTAACATTTTCTTGGATTGCCTTAATTCTTCTTGAACTCTTTGCTGATCTTCCAGAATCATCTGATTGTTTTCAGTCAGGTCGTCCACTCTCTTGTTAAGCCTCTCCACCTCCAACTCGTTGGCGTAGATGGCATCATTGGCCTTCTCCAGCTCACTGGTTAAGTGCTGGATTTCCGACCGGCTGGCCAGCTCCACTGTCTCCAGAATCTGCTTCCTATTGGCAAGCTGAGCCTAAGAGCATTTGGTTTGCATTAAAGCTAAATTATAAAAACCAGTGTATCAAGACTACATTCAAAACAACTACTCATTTCTTTGTGTAACAAGTCACATTCTCAAAGTAAGCAATGCTATCTTTGAGGGAATTTGGGAAAGTATTGTTCCAGGGTTACATGATGGGTAAGATTTCTGATGGTAAGTAGAATTGGAAAAAAAAAAAAAAAAGGAGGGGGCCCCCTCTGGTTCCAAAAGGGGTTCAAAGAGAATCTGGGAAAAGAGGATCTCAAATCACTCAAGTTGTCCGAGCACGAACTGTCTAAGAACAAAGCTGACTACTCTTTTTCGCTCATTAACCTAAGGCTAGAGCAGGAGAAGCAGCAGCATGTAAGAAGGTTTGCAAATAACACACACAAGCTAGAGATTACCCAACCATTAACTCCACACCAGGAAAGAAAGCAGCTCCTGGTGCACAACGAAAAAAAACCACAACCACCAAACAGATCAAAAACCCAACTGGGTGTAACAGTCAATTATGTTTTGCTTTATGTAGTAAATATCTGGTTCTAACAGCTTGTGAGAATGCTCACTTGGAACGTTTCATTGTTTTAACAACAGACAAAAAAAGTTATAAGGACCAGCAAACAATACGTGCTCTATTATTTATAGGCACAATACTTCATTTTATGGCATTTCTTTCCACGTAGCTAGCTGGTGAGATTTAACAAGCCGGCTTTCGCATAAGCTTCTAAGAATATTCACTTCATCTATTCCCTTTTTGTATAGTACTTTATAATTTTTAAAGGCTGCAACAAAATATTTGAGTAGCCCTTTAGTCCCGATTTCTAAGAGCAGCAATTCCTGCCAGCTTCAGAATCACCACATGCCTTAATTTATTGCCTGACACATAATGCCTCGTAACTGAGCAAACCATAGGAGCTGTGCATTTGGAAGCCTATGGTATAATTTTGATTACAGCCTTTTCATTACTTGAATAGTCACGACAGAAAACGTAATCAGGAGGGGCAAGAGTTTAAAGTACAGCCTTCCTCCACGCAAGAACCCGGAGTACCAGCCTACTTGAATATTTATTGCTGCATTAAGAAAACGTTTAAGCTATCTCTTATTTCCAGCCACAGAACATGCAGGACAGCACAGGATTCCAAGTTTCACCTGTTGGCTTTAAAGGCTGCAGGTGTTACAGGGAGGTGCCATCACTGGGTAAGAATGCCAGGCTTCCCCTAGGCTGCACCGAAAGATATGAGGGGAAGGCAGCTGAAAAAAAGAGAAAGGGGAAGTGCTCCACGGTCACGGATCGCAGCTTGACCTTGTGCCAAAAACCACACCAACCATACAAAACCCGTAGAAACATCCAAGGTAAAAATTGAGCACTTTCATGTTTGGGCTTTTCAAAGAAATTGGGAATTCAGGCAGTCTGTCCACCTAACTCATCTACACCGCTCAGGCAAAATCTCCCCAAATTCCTGTTTTTCTGCTGCACAGTAAGAGCTCCTCTGCACTCCCCTCCACCAGCCTGCACTCCAAGGACACATCTGTTCGCAGACAATTGAGCTATCAATGATACAAAGACAGCAGAGCAGCAAGACCTTCTGCTCAACGACTCTCTCTGCCTTCGTAGATCTGCTGGTGTCAGCCTCTCACAAAGCCCCTGTCAGAGCCAGCTTCAATCCTGTCATCACCAGCTTCCTCCTTGCAGGAGCTTCCACTCAAGAGCAACTCAGGAGCCCATTAAGGGTAAAGTCCCCAGCAAGAGCTTCTTATCAGTGTCTGCTGTGATTGTGTCAGTGGGACTTCACCGCTGCGCTCTAGGTCAATTCATCTTGCTCTGCTGCAGCACCACGAACTCGCTCAACCATTAGCTTTGCAGGAGCAGCAGCCCCACTACTTCTTGCGTTTAAGAGACTTTTTTTTAAAAAAAAAGAAAAAAAAAAAAGGCTGAAAACTCTTGTTACTTCAGTACTTTGCAGAAGTACCTGTCGTAGAGGAAGGCTATTTTCCATCGTCCTCTGAGCTGGACCTAGAAGGTACATATTCAGCTACTGGCAGGTACGCAGCTCTGAACTAGACGACGTGATGTAACAGCTATTTTCAAGTGTCATATGCTGTAGTGTCTGTCTCCGAGGGAAAGCTTCACCCTACTATCTCCTCTACTAATCAGAGGGGCAGCAGGGAGAGCTGCACGTGGTTTATCTAACCTCTGCTGATGGACTCCAGATCTTTTTTCCATACAC